AGGTTATTTTGAATAAATTAAGTCCAAGATATTGAAGTTCAATGAATTTATCATTAGTTAGTAAATAGTTTATTGTTGACATATGGTTGATGATGAGTGTGTTTTGCACACGGATTTTATACCATTGGAGCTTCATTTGTATGTTTAATATGTTGATTATAGAACGAATTTAATGTGTTTGCTAGTGTTTTGGTTGAAGGAATGTTAAAATGAAGAAAAATGGCTTTTGAAGCAAAGTAGAAGAAAAATTCAACAGAACTCGGGCGCTCAAGCGTCACCTTTCCAGCGCTCAAGCGCTACACCAAGCTTGGGAACAAAAAAATTCAATAGAACTCGGGCGCTCAAGCGCTGCCTAAGTGGTGCTCAAGCGCCACTTGTGTGGAAGTCGCAGCGCTCAAGTGCTACAGTCTAGTATTCAAGCGCTGCGCCGCGAAGAAAAATAGGTAATTTTTGGGCTCCGAAAAAGCCCACAAAAAGGACCCCAACTTGGCTAAGGATGGATGAGAAGTATAACTAGGCTAAGAGAGGCACGAAATAGGGTTGGACACCTTGCAATTATGGAGAGAAAAACTCAAAATTAAAGGAAGATTCACGAGAAGAATTACATCAAGGATTCGGGTTCAAATCGAAAATTGGAAACGGAAGAAGATCTTGGTACAAGAGTTTAATCTTTCTATCTTTTGTATGATTTAAATCCGGTGATGAACTCAAATTTTGTTATTTATTTTGTTATTTTACGCATGAGTAACTAAATTTATTATTAGGGCGAACAATGTAATCTTTTGAAACCCTTAGTTATTTAATTTATGAATTCTGAGTTTTCATTCTTCAATGTGTTGATTTTATTATGTGTGTAATGCTTCAAATTACCTGGCCATTAATTTGATGATCTATTGAGTTTCTTACGAGTCAGAGGTGAGTTCAAAACTTAGAACGTGTAATAAAATCCGGTAACGAGGTATAACGTGTAGAGATACCTATACTAAGTGCCGCAGTCGTTATGTGAATTCCTAGTGCCTTGACTCGTTTAACTAAGGAGAATTTGCATAGAGATATGGAATTGATTTAGCTAAACAGGATCAATGAGAACTCGAGATAGGTAAATTGAATACCGTATGAGAATTCGACCGAACACTATATTAGGCTAGAATCTTGAATTGGTAACTAAGGTGATCATTAGGTGAAATTGTTTTGCCCT